CTTTACAAAACATGTACGTGATAATCATGATTTCCAAATTAGGATAATTTTATCGACAGAATGGATGTGTTAATTATATTAATTACTTGATAGATAATAGAATAATAGATAATAGTTTTTTTAGTTACTGTAAAGTACTATTTAATGATTAATAATCATATAATCTGATTATTATAAATGCGAAAGTTTAGATGGATGGATGTTTGTTAGAGTTTGTAGTCAAAACGACTGAACGGATCTGGATGAATTTTGGCATAGATGTAGAGCAGAGTATGGAATAACACATAGGCTACTTACTTTTGTTTTTTTTTTAATACCACGCCGACGGAATCGCGGGCGAAAGTTAGTTTTATATAATTTCAACAATTTGATATATCTACATAAAGTTAAGTGAATTTGATATATCTACATAAAGTTAAAATCTAAATAAAGTGCCTATTGGTTACTTAAAAGGAAGTCCCTACAACTGATCGATTTGTAACTTACTTGATTTAATAATAAAAATTATTTTATTTTTTTATTATTTTTAAAGTTCTGTGTATGTACTAGGATGAATAGGTAATTATTAATATAATTCAGTTATTTTGTTACATTGTTTCTAGACGGTGTGGGTGGATATGAGATTAGTGACACCTACGTTTGTTTGCACAAATGCTCTATTATATATTTTTGTCAAAAGTTCAGTCGCCCACGGTGCGACGAAAATAGTCAATATCAATAGTGAGTTATAGCCATATAAATTTAGACATAGACGTATTTAATATAAAGTCACCTCTCCAGTTAGAAGGGCATTAAAAATTCGTTGGCACGCCCTCAGAGGTCAGTTTAATGTTGAGAGTGTGTTCACACCGAGCGGTCGGCGGCCGTAAGCTATGTGTACTCGTAGAGGAACGGTGTGCGTGGCAGCCACGTTTATTGCGTGAAGTGTAGTTCGATACGACTTTTACATTTTTTTAATTAATTTTAAGTGGTCTTTAGTTGATGCTTTATACTTACTAGCAAGTTACGACATCGTCTTATGTAGACCGCGAAGGGTGTTTGCAAAGCAAATTCCATTTTACCCCTTTTTAAATCTTAACTAATACTGAAAACATTTAATTTAGAAATTTGACACAAAATATGAGTACTTGCATGTTGTTATATGTTTACCCGAAATCTATGTTATTTAAAGTAAATAATACCTTAATTACATACAAGTACATTAAATACATATAAAAAAACTGAACCAAAGGCGAGTTTAAAGTCTTTAATACTCGTATTTGATGTGTCGAGTGCTTAGGTGTAAGAAAATCAATAAAGTTGATGAACCATCATCAAATTTACATTAGGCCACTCATCGTTACTTTATACGATATTTTAATATCATGTGTAAAATCTGCTCAGTAAGAACCTATCTTATAGTTAAATCACATATTATAATTTTAAATCTGGTAAAGGTTGGAGAAGTGCTCTGGATGAGGAGGATATTTGTGACGATTAGTACTCTTTAACACGTTTACTGCAGCAAGTAAAAATATAGTTCCTCATCTGGAGCGGCGGCGGGCCGAAATGCGCCCCCAATGATATTTCTGCCAGTACGTGGCAGGTTTTAATAGACCCCCCAGCATTAGGATAGATTAAATCGAGTATAACTTTGTGGTAACATAGTGTATATATTTTATGTAATATAATGTATACACCTAAAATAATCGTTTAGCAATACCGTGAGGCACCGAGTCAGGTCGATATCGGCCTGTTACGCTGTGAGCGTGTTAACATTGTATTCCATCACCATTATCAGCTCATCCATAATGAGCTTGGAGCCTAACCTAAGTTAGGGGTGACTAAGAATGACAATATTTGTACTGTATCATTTAGGTAGAATTTAAGTTTACAAGTTTTAAATGCCAACTTTCAAAGTAATGTTAAAAATACATAAATGCCAATTTCAGTACTGCGACTAGTATTGGAAGATGGTATAAAAGCTTTTAGCAATTTAATATGTTTGCGTCTGAATGTAAAATTAATGCAGCATCCACTCAGGGACATAAACACGGAATATTTTATGAATCAATTTCGATGTGATAGAAATGATACATTTAAGTGCAGTGGGAGCTTATTTTTGTTTGTATATCACTCTATTTGAATAATGAAAGGAAAACAATAGAAAAAAACAAGGTGGGAATAGATTATTCGTTTACCTCGAGATAAACCTTGATTACATGGAGTTATTAACAGAAAGAGTTTTGGAAGATTTAAAGAAGGACTTTTTTAGTTATGACTAGCTGTTCCCGTGCGCCTTCATCCGCATGAAATTATGAAAATTTTATTTTATCGTTTACATTTGTCAAATTCTCAATTGCAAATGTCAAAATGACATGACATGACATGACAAACCTTGACAACCTTGTATCCTTGATGTTGGCAGCAACTTATGGTCTCTTTCCCACATTAGGGTTTTTATCCAAAATATTTAGCCCCTAAGTTAAATGGCGTGAAAATATATAGCCTAAAGCGTGACGTAAGTGTAGGGCATTTCTTTAAAGAAAGAATTAATCAAAAATATGCTGTAATTGCTGACATCTTAGGCAACAAAAAAGTGTGTGTTTACGCTTTATTATAATAGTATAGATAGTATAGTATAGAAGTATAGCTTTTGTTGCAGTGCCTATGGAATGTCATTTGCTTTCAAGTTGTACTTAGCTATTATGTACACTTAGAAAGGGTAATATTGAAAAACTCGCCCATGGCGGAACAAATATGACTGAATCGTGATGTGGCAGGTTCAAACAATGTTGAAAATGGCTCTTTTGAACCAGTGTAATGTCAAAATATATTTTTAAAATAACCTTACGATAAAAATGTCATTTTAAATAGCGACAAACTCATCATTCATTTAGTAAATTGTTTAAAAAATGTGTTTGTTTGAATTTATTTATCTTGACAGCTTTGCAACAATGTTACACCGAACACTCGTACTATGACAAATAGTACATAGGCATTAACAAAATGAGAATTTTTCAGCAAAGAAATAGGTTATACAGTTACAGATTCAATAATTCTAACGGCTTGGCCCTGTCTTGAAGAGGCCTGTACGCATGTGCCGTGCCCGCTCATAGTATTCAGCTTTTCATATAACCACAAGTCTAACATGATTCAAAGAAAAATAAAGACTGAAAAACACTTAAAATAAATATATCTAACTCTTTATACACGATTTAAATAAAAAAATCTAGTTACTCCGTACCATTTTGGAAAGACACTGAACTTTTCAAACACTTAGGCATTTACTTAGTTAAGAATAAGATAATTGAAAAACATCAGTAAAACACACGTATAGTCAAACCGTAAATCAAAATATGCGATAAATTCGGTAGGACTTAACGAGAAACATGAAACATTTAGGCAAAGTTTAACATGTAAACATGGCCTAATTTTAAATCCCTGCTGCAAAATCAATAGTGGCTGAAAGGATCCGCACATAAGAACATCGTGTAATCTGGCACAGATTTTGAATAATGCAACTTGCATGTGCAACTGTCTACGGTAGAGAGAGCGAGACGCGGATAGACGGCAAGAGGCGCGCGCGAGCGAGACGGCGGCTGCGGCAGTGCCGGGGCAGGGTCCGGCACCCTGGCACTTTCGAACACTCCACCGAAATTCACTGAACTACAGAAAAACAAGGGAGTCGTGGATAATCCAGATGGTCTCCGTCGGCACGAGGGCACGGGGCGCAGGCCGAGGATAATAACCATGGGTCCGGGCGCGCCGGGCGTGCCGGAGCGTGCTAGCTGCAGGGCGGCGGCGCCGGTCGCGTCGCGGTTACCTCTCTGGCCATCGCGGCATGACCGCCGGAGGCCGTGGGCGCGCGCTCACGCCGCCATCTTCGTGGGGCACAGCCCGGGGCTCGCGTCGCGACTCGCGGACCACTCGAGCGGTGCGCCGCGTGGGCGGCGATCGATGCACGCCGCGCGCAGGCGCCCCGCCCCGCCCGCACACCTCGCCCCTCGCCCTCTCCCCGCGCTCCGGTGCATCCGCCCTGACCCACTTGCCGCGCACACTGACCTCTTTCCCGACACTTCCAATAGACCGATTCGCGATGCGACTTACCCTTCCACTACCTTCACAAAACACTATTATTCGCACGAGTGTCGAATAAACCACATTTACTTGGAGACGAAGTCACTTCCCCAAGTAGTTTGTTCATTTAATAATATCTTGTATTGCATCGGAGACGGCGCGATAAATTTATATTTATCCGCTGCGGGCAAACAATGAATAACGAACAGGAAAATTAAAGCAAATTCAGTTAGCAGTTCAGTTCGCTTCAATTTTTTGCTGATTCGTCGATGTTAATGTAATATTGTTTGTTTAATAGAAGCGAAACTAGAGTTTCACTTATTTAGAATAAAAGCAGGCGAAAAGTACAACGAACTGTTTTGTGTTAGAATATAAGTTGTGTCATATACAGAAACATTTTACGGGTCCTGTTGTAGAATATTTCAGCGTATTTACCTATTCGTTATTGAGTAAAAGGAAAAGTCGAGCGCTCTATTTAAAAATCGCATCCAAAATCTAGTGCATGTACAGTATACTCGTATACCTGTGTATACTATAGTCTGCTTTGATTAATTATTCCATGTGATAGCGCGCTAGTTTAACGAGTTCGCCGATGCACCAATCTAATTCGAAAATCTTTTTTGTAAATAAATCGATTTACATTATTTATCAGACTCTTTATTTCAACATGTTTATTAGAGCAATAACAAGAAATACGTAGCTTTGAATACATATTTATCTGAACCAATCTGTTCCGCGCATTTTTATAACCGGTATTGTAGTCTCAAATTTTACAACATTATAGCTTATAACTTGCAAGTGATGCAATATTTAAGATACCAAGATCAAAATATTGCGTGGCGTGCTTTCATTTAAAACCTTTCAGCCGATAATATAATTTACGAGGTGCAACACAGTAGATTTTAATTTGGCAACCCCACGTAAGGTAATGTCAATGTCAATCAAAACATCAAAAATATTAATATGTACAGAATTTCGGTTCGATGACCGAGAGTTATCTTTTATTAAACAAAAATAGTTTCAATAAAGCAAAAATCGTTAAAGTTACACTCAAAAAAGATATCCAATGCAAATACTTTAGTCACTATGAAGGATATGACAGTGTTCATAACTGACTTTTTAAGTGGAACCATGGGTTGAATTATTAAAAACAATAACGGGACGAATGGACCACCGTTGTATTGTAAAAAGTATGTAATGCTCAGTTAATTGCTACGTTATTTAAATATATTCATAATATTTTAATATAAACTATACTATTGGTCTTTTCTAACAATTGTTCAAATATTAATACATCGCTAACACCCACGCAAATATTGTTGGTTCAAGCGATGCTATCTCTTTTTTATTAAGTACTTAAATAATAAGGTGTATTCCACTCTCAATATTTCAGTCATATAATACAAGTTAGTCCCACTTTGAAAACCTCAGTGAATTCTACATCACACTAATGTTTTGTTTAGTAATATGTATAAATTTTCCCTAATTCCACTGCTAGCGCTTATTTTCCGTGGTACTAAAGTTATGTTAGGAAATATTTACTTAATCTAGATCACAGAGTAATTAACTGTGAGTTTATCTCATTTATATGAATAAACAGACAAGAGACTTATCAAGTGATTTTTCCACTTTAAAATTGGAATGTGCAATACAATTCGCGGTATTTTAAATGTTGCAATATCTGATTAAAATAAAGCATAATGTGACACACAATGCATGTAATAGATCATGCATAATACATGTTTGTATGCATTGACATTTACTTGTGGTGAGACAATATTTATTTATATATTTTTATAACTTCTTAACTTGCTCAAAAGTAATTACTAGTACAGATGTTTTTTAAGAAAAAATGCTGACAATATTTCTAAATAATGAAATAGTTATTTAATGAATGAATTATGAATTGTCTAGGGTCCTATCCCAGTGGAATTAAAAAAACTTCATTTGCAACCTAGATGTACTTCCCCGTGTTTTATGTCAGTGCCTATTTCAGCAAGATCTATCAAGCTGATCTGGAGATACATAGTAACAATCATCCATTCATGAAAAAACAAGACATTCTAAACTTAAAATTGGCCTTCCTCATATAAGTGTTTTGTAAGTGGATTGTATTGTTAATGTTAATGTGTGGTGTACAGGACAGCACTATGATGCTGCTGCGCATCAACATGCGCACAGCGTTGGCCGCGCTGTGTATAGCAGTCCTCCTTATTATAGTCTTCTGGACCCGCTGTGGAGAGCTCTCGCATAGACCAAGTACGTAAAAAGATCTGATAAAATTCCTATTTTAATAGATTAACTAACCGGAACTGACTCTTTGACAAACAATTCTGCTTGTAGTAGGCTCGATTTTGTCAAATGGTTTGCCGGAGCGAGGAGCTGTTGCTGGCAGTGATGGACAGGAGATCGAGTGTGTTATCAATGGAGAGTACTCTGTGGCGTGTCGCCGTGACAGAGACCAGGTTTACCTGCCCTTCTCATTCATACACAAGTACTTTGAGGTTAGTACACTCATATTGGTTAGATTTTTTTTTATATATTTACAAATGAGCAATCGGCAACCTTAAATCGCTAAAACAGGGCTGTCAATAAAAATCCGCAAATGAAAAGGTATAGCCTACCTTTAACAGGGGGTGTATAGAAAGAGATTTTTCCTCTTCCTATGCATCTTCTTTGTCAAATTAACCTACCTAGGGGCTAAAATTAGGCCTCCGGTACGCAATTAATTTAGTAAACTCGTTGACATGCATATTTTATTATTTTTACAATTAGGTTTATGGCAAGATAACATCGACGGACGGCGTAGACAGGTTTGAATGGTCTCACAGCTATAGTAAAATTTATCACCCGAAAAAAAAATATGACCCACGAGGAACTTTTACCACATTCGAGAACTACAATGTAGAAGTGCGGGAGCGAGTTAAATGTATTAGTGGTATTGAAGGTGTCCCGGTGTCGACCCAGTGGGAACCCCGGGGTTTTTATTATCCAACCCAAATAGCACAGTTTGGTTTAGCACATTACAGTAAAAACATCACAGAACCTGAACCTAGAGTGAAGATATTAGATGATGGTGAGAATGTCTTGGAGAACTGGATCGTTAGTAAAGATGCAACTATTTCGAGAGAATATGATCAGGAGATGAAGACTAAAGTGCTAAAGTTCTCCACCTCGGAGCATGTGTCTAGTCAGGTGTGGCTCAAAGTGAACATTAGCCAAGATTTTGTGCTGAGTTTGGATGTACGGTTCAAACCTAACTCCTCGATAACTGTGATGCTGCAAAATAAAGACAAGAAGGAGACTGTTTATCTACATTATGTTACTAGTAATCAATTAATATACGCTCAGGTGAGAGATTTTAATATCGAAAATGTTGACATGACAAAACTATGTTCAACTATGTTTCATGTTTTTACTTGTTTGTCAGGATGATCATATCTACCACGGTATTGGTACGGAAGTAAAGTGGAGACGAATAACACGAGATCTTATAATCGATATGCAGAAAGGCTGGGCCTTGCTTGATCGACCCAAGAGGAAGTCGCCCAGAAATAAGTTTAGGGTAAGTAGATTTTCATTGCAAATGTTATTTCCATAGGATTTTATTTCCATTGATCTTATTTGGTTCGAATTTTTTCCACAAGAGATATTTGTAAATCAGTTTTAACTGTTTCATAAGATTAACTTGCATAGCTTAGTTGAGCTGTGGCTCAACAAATGAATTAGCAGTTCTCGGCTGAACGCAATATACCATAATAATGGGAGTTGAAGAGCCGTAGACTATATGCTCAAAATTTGAATTGTGCTGATTTGTGAGCCGAATCACTGATCTGCTTCACATATGAAATGTGAGCTGATCCGCTGATGCCATGGGTAGGATGGTGTGTGATAGCCTGATAGCGGGGGTGTATCAGATCTGCAGCGTGGGCGTGCGCGGCGGCGGCGCGCTGGGGGGGCTGCGCGTGTCGAGCAGCGAGCACATGGCGCACTTCTTCGCGGCGGCGGAGTGGCTGGCGGGCGGGCAGCGCGCGCGCGGCGGCTGGCCCGTGCTCGCGCGCCGCCACGTCGCCCCCGGCGTGCCGGACCTCAAGCCGGGCTGGTCAGACACTTTATAACTAGATTTAATATAAAAAATCCTAATAAATGTACACTTTGTTATCCTGGGAGTGTAGCTTCCTATTCAAAGATTTTAGCTGTTGGTGTTGATAATGTACCGAGTGATTAAACTTTTTATCTATTATCGCGTGTGACTACGTTTGCGTAGAATAAAAAGAGTATTAATTTGTAGTCTATATCTTATTCTAGACTATGCTCTACATCTATACCAAATTTAAACTAAATTTGTTGAATCGTTATGGACTTTATAATAAATATTTACCCATCCATCTAAATAATCGTATTATAAGTAAGATGTGTGCAGGCTGTCTGCGATGAGCCAGGGGCACGCGATCTCCGTGCTGGCGCGCGCCTTCCACCGCAGCGGCCGCACGCGCTACCTGCGGGCGGCGCAGCGCGCGCTGCTGCCGCTGGCGGTCGACAGCCGCGACGGCGGCGTCAAGGCCATGTGGATGGACAAACACGTCTGGTGAGTAACAACCTCCGTAATATATGTGTGTGTGTACATGGGTACGTCTAATTAGTGTGTGGTTACCGTAGCGACATCTGTCGGGAATAAATTATGCTACTGGAATGTCACATCATTGCTCATTCTTGGCCTCAACACATAACATTGGCGACGAGTATAAAGTTATGTGGTGATATCGTTGCGGAGCGGCAACTGCGCACGGCGGAGCGGCAACTGCGCACGGCGGAGCGGCAATTGCGCACGGCAGCATGGTTGTGCAACCTTGCGGAGCGGCAACTGCGCACAGCAGAGTGGCAACAGCAAACGACGGAACGGCAACAGCGCACAGCGGAGCGGCAACTGCGCACGGCGGAGCGGCCGACGCATTAAAAAGATGACACGACGGAGTGGCCATTGGTGGAATTTGCTGGACCAGTAATTTGGCGTGGCGAACCGGGCAGGTCCGATCCCTGTGCCGCTTTAGTCTCGCCTGATTAGGAAATGCCTTAGGGAACAAGATTAGTTATAAGGATAAATAAAGTGAATAATAACAAAACGAGGGATAGCTTATTAAGTGGAGAGAGATGTAATGTTTGTATACGTATATAGGTGCAACTAATTAATGTCGTGTCGAATAACTTGTCTTACTAAAAAGTCGTCTCATTTCTCACTCTTGCCCTCGACACATGAACTTCTACTAACAAGTAATAAATACAATTGTATCATCCCAGGTACGAGGAGTACCCGACCACTCCGCCGCTGTTTGTACTCAACGGCTTCATCTACACGCTGCTGGGCCTCTACGACCTGCATATCATCGAGGGTGAGAATTCCATATCCTTAGCAAAGAAGATGTTCGACGACGGCATGACCTCTCTCAAGACATTGCTCCCCCTCTTCGACACCGGCAGCGGCAGCTTCTACGACCTGCGTCACTTCACCCTCGGGGTGAGTCCCAACCTCGCGCGTTGGGACTACCACGCCACGCACGTCAACCAGCTCTATCTCCTCGCAGGACTGGACCCCGACCCCATACTGATAGACACGGCCAAAAGATGGGAAGGATATATGCAAGGTAAACGAGCAGCGCACAATTGAGCGTAAATAAATATGAAGTTGAGTATTTATATGCCCGTCGCTCTGAGCGATGAGATTGACGAAATAACGACTCGATATGTAAATCTTGCCTAAAAAACACAGCATTGGTACTGGTATTTTTGTCAAATGGACTGAGCGATGATAAGGCTTGCCTTACCTCATGGTATAAATGTTATCTTGTAAGGTATATGGCACTGAGTGTTTGTTTCGACGAAATAGTGACTCGAGTGATTATTTTTCATTATGAAAAGATTAGTTATTTTAGATCTGTATGCTTTATAACTGAGAGCATTCCTTAATGGTATAAACTTTGTAATTTTATATAAAGTGTTTTTTTATGAGGACTCATTGACTTGAAATAAATGCTCACCCGAATTAAACTACTTATTTATAGATTTTTATCCTTGAATGGAAATGGAATTGATAAAAATTGATTTTTAAAACTATAGCTTGATTCTGTTTTTAGCGTTAATTCTATTTTGTATTTAAAATGAATAGAAGAATTTGGTAACACTGATATCCGATAATTGTTAAAATATTTAAACTTTTTTAAATACGGCAAAATATATTTAATATAACGCACTTTAATTTAATAAAATAGTACTTATGAGTGTAGAACACATGCACATTTTTAATGTAAAAAAAAAACAATAATTAGCATAGTTTTAAGAAATATCATATCACAAAAATTTGTTATTATCTATACAAATATTTTCGAGTTTTTTCTTAATAACAAAGATAACCAGTATGTGAGATATCTCGAATGTTAAATTTTAATAAGAAAATAACTTACAATGTACTTAACAGACTTTAAGTTACTATATACGTATTGCTGCTGCACATAGAACCGTCAGTGGGACTCTCCAAGTTGAATATTAGCAGATTTTTGAAAACTTACTAATATGTCTTGTACAATTATTAATAACCTCTAGGCTACGATTTTCAAAACCCTTTAAGCTGTTGAATTAAATAAGTTGTTGTTGTTCGCGACTTTGCCCGCGTCAAATTAAAAAAAAAACAAAAACATAGCCTATGTTACTGACAGATAAATTACCTTTCTAATGGTGAAAGAATTTTTGAAATCTGCCCAATAGTTTTGACGTGAACCGAATACATACAAAAATACAAATCTTTCCTCTTTATGATGTTAGTATATATGTGAGATGCATACTAAGGAGCTCCATTAGCGACCAATTCACTCTGAGTGTGGAAGAATACTTTACGTTTGAGCTTTACTTTCTTATTAATGTAAATATTGGTTTTGATAGTGTTGCAATTTAAATAAATCGGTAAATTTTGTTTGTATATTTTGATATATTTATAGTCTTGCCCGGTTTGCCTAATTTATAAATAATTTTTAACATAATTAAAATAAATTTGCAATTACAATTTAATAGAAATAAGTCTAGGGTTTTTTTATACTAATTTAACCAATAAGTATTTAATATAAAATTGTTTTTGTTTATAATTTCTTAACCGTAAAGAAAAATGTACACTCATAAGTGATTCTAGATTTTATATACGAAAAAAAAATAGATATATACAACCACTGTTGGGTTGTGACTCAAAGCACAAATTTTTCATATAAATATTGTAATTTTCATGGCATTCGTTCTATTATAAATAAAAAAGTCAATTCATACTGTTACACGAATTTAAGAAAAAACATGTTCTTGGGCGTTGGTCAACGACGCCCATGGACATATTTTTTCTTGGTATTCACGCCATTACGACATTCACGAGCGATTTTTTCTTGCCTTTGCCTATTACTGTTTTCAAGGCATTATAATAAAACTAAGCGTTCAACTTTCGTGGCTAGTTCAACCATTCGATCGCACTTGCATTATTTGAAATACAAAATATCTTTTAAATACTTAATTTTGTCGTTTTTTTAACTTTGGCCGCTTAGTAGTTAATAAGGTTAGAATTTTTTTAATCATAACTCGTGCCTTCACATTTCTTTAGACGCCGTACAATAAATCACTTAGCGCTCTATGGAATATGTCAATTGACGAATAGAAACAATAAATTGTTTATTATCTGTTGAAAAATGTCTTTATACTCTTGTAAATAGATGATTATTCTTCCTATACCACCATCAATATGGCTTTTTGGTTTCAATATAGTTTTGTCTATTTTACTTAGAAAAACGATTTCTAAGATACTTAAATCTGAAATAAAAACTAATTCAGATAGTTTTACAGATTGTTTGTTTTGTTTTGCCGGAAAAAGGTATTTTTGAACTGTCAAATTGGCGCGTAAATTCTTTTTTATTTGTAAATACTCTATTATTTATGTATTAGTAGTTCTTAATTCTTATGACTTGTAAAGGGTTGGTGTTTGACCAAATCGTAGAACATTCCAAAAAGAGCTTAGTAGTGGTACTTTATGGTAGTTATTGTAATACGTTGATGTTTTTATTTTTTACCATTTCCTAACAGTCGATTTTCACTAAGGAATCATCTGAATAAAAATATTGTCTCTGGTTTTTAACGAGAATTACATGTAGTTTTTGTTCAGATAATTTGGCAGTGAAGGTCCATGTATGTACTGAAAGTATTGGAGATTGAGAGTAACAGAAAATTCATAGATATGCAATCTATAGATGTCTAACTCTGAGTGTAGATGTCGAAGAAGAACTCCGATGGACTCCGAGATTCGACTGTCAATTAGACGTCAAGCTTGTTTGAAATACTTCATCTATAGATGGTAAATCTATGGAAATAAATGCATCTAATAGACGGAATTTTAATTTATTAACAGTAGGACTATGCCTCATAATATAGTTGTGTATAGCTGTTTTTTTTATATAAAACGTTATCTGTACCTGTTTACTTAAGTAATTTATAATGAATTTCTATATTATCTTGTTCATGTTAAAAAACAAGTACATATACTAATTTTGTACTAATATTTATTTATATAACTTTTTTTTTATTTAAAGAATATTACTAAACAATTTAGATGTTATTTTTTGCTCCGAATGTTTTTTTTTTTTACTGAAAATGACTGATAACTTCTATGTGTTTCTTGAAAAGATATATCTCACAAAATTGTACGTTTTTTCATTACGAATTGGACAATTTTGTTGAATCATGTAATAGTGCCAACTTCATTTAAAACTTCCATTGTCATCTTTTTAGAAATAACTTCCGTTAATGATTCTTACCAGTTTTATACATATTACAATGCGATGTTATTACAGACAGAATTTGATGTGCTTGACAATCCTTTGCCTTGTATTGAGTATTTGTTTTGTATATTTTGGAACTAGAATGGAATTAGAATTATGATTATTTATGATACAAACGCTCGTAAGTCACGTAAGTTACGTGTTATGTCTTTTTTATTCATATAAAATGTATCAAATTCGTTCAGTATCCACTGTGTTGCCAGACTCCAGATCTTATCGATTTAGTTTGATGTTAAAAACTAGGTTAAACGAATGTACAGCAACACTTCCAAATGTGTATGTAGTTGTAGATTTAGAACGCACCTGTGGACGACAATAAAATGTGTCTCAACTAATTTTGTTTTTTTATCCTCACTCCCTATACTCTTTACCTTAATAACCTCAAACATGAATTCGAATTTCAGTATCGAACTCTTTTCAGTTTTTAATAGTAGTCTGGAATGGAAATAAAAATTGCATTCAAAATATTTGAAATCCTGCGGAAAATTCTCGAGTGGTTGCAAGCTTAGAGCATTTGTTACGGGACGTGCCGGCCGCGCTATTGACGCAAACGAACGCACACTTCAAGCTTTAAACGTTTTGAGTCCTTAAAATTTTACATTTTTTAAAAACGAAATTTAAATATCTTTTAGGTTTATATTAGTTTGAAATCGAATCGGAAACCCTTAACATACGATCGCAGCACTTGTACGGGAGCACCGTAGAAGCAATTAAAGCGCATAAATTCCACCGCACGTTCCAAGAGACCAACAAAAAGTTATCGCGCTGTGTAAACTGCAGCAACGAGATCTACCACCGCTTAGGACGAAAACGCTCTCAAACGGGGCAAATCTTTTAGGAAAAAATCCATTAAGAAGCATAGGGTGCAATCACAGAGGGTTATCCGGAGATTCGAATAGGTGGCAGGGGGTGAACAAACATGCCACGGACACCGCGCGCTGCTGTAAAGGGGAAGAGGGGGTTGCAAATTCCGGCCCCTGCTACAATATTGCAACGAACAAATGCGGAGATTCCACCTCACATAGCGACCGTTACTCTAACATTTAACGTGATTCTTTATTAGTATAATTTAAAGAGTTTTTAATGAAATTGTAATGGTTTTTGTACCTTTACACTTTAGCGTTAGTAATTAACGGTTTATTATTTCTACTTTATTTCGTATCGTTTTTTAAACTATATACCGCATTGAAATACATGTATACTTTATAATTAAAAGCATTTTAATTTAAAACAATATCATTTGTAAAATCAACACCAAATCAAAAAAAAATGAAAACATTCTCAAAAGTGATGTAAAAACCATAGACAATCTAGAATAAAAAGTCGCAAGTGGCGCCATTGCGGCGGTATTAAGCGTAACTGCAGGACGCGAGGCGCGAGAGGGCGCGCTTCTCCGCCTCCACCATCTTATCGAGAGCGGCCTGCATCTCGGGCCAGGGTTCATAGCGGTCATTGATCACCACCAGCTTGTGGATGGTCGGCTTCCGCAGGTCCATGGTGCGAGATATATTGTCGCGGCTCCGGCTAGAGAAAACTACGTCCACCTAAATAAAGTAATTAATTCGTCAATAAGAGAAGACAATGTCATGGAATACTTTTAGAAGGTTTATAGTAATGCCTCATTTAGACATTTCTAAAGTGCATTAACGACTTGTAGTAACGATGAAGGGGGTTTTCTTCCCTGTTAAACGCAAGTGAATTACGTGAGGGGATAGAAGAAAAGCAAAGTACTAGTGCACCTGCTGGCTTCGGGTCTGAAAGGCCTGCTTGCCAGAAGGTATACTATGTTTTTGTAAAGGTCTTATAGAATTGTGGATATCGCTATATATATACTCACTTTATTTCTACACGCCCATGCGATAGACGCGCACATCAAACTTAACGATGTCATGGTGACGAAGAACAGCGGGATAATCTCCCAGTACCTGGTAAGTGCATAGGACAGATGCAACTTTCTCGGTATAGGCACGTCATACTGCGTGGGGGGCACTAGCTCGCCAGAGCGTCGCACTACGACAACGAGTGGGGAACTCTTTCGCTGTAGAAGAGAATACCCACTACGAACTTGAATAGCGGGCTTTAGGAATTTTGAAAACATTGTTACGAAATTCTAAAAAGTTTATGGAAAAAATAATGTGAAATGTTGAAGAGTTCGTTGACAACTGTTTAAATTTTTTCTTGTCAAAACTTTACAGGTGTTCGTTTAAAAGAATAAAAAGATATTCATACGTATAAATTTATTTGCCCAATTATATTTGTTTTCATAGAAGAGATTCCTACAGTTTTTTAACTAATCTGAAATTAGATTATGATTAAAAACTAACACGTAAACTACGTGTTACTTTTACGGACTGTCCAAAAATAATCTTGAAGAAACAAAAAAAAAGAAAGCATATTTAACGTCAACATGATTAAACAAATTTTGTAAATCAATTTCAAATTCAAACTTTTTTATAAAGTAATCATAAGTGAAAGAATTTGGACAAGAATCATAATACTACCAAAAAAATGCGGAAATTGTTGTATTCAGTCTACCCTCGATCACTCGGAATCGTCGTATAAATACAAAGGTAATGATCTATTTTTTTCTACTGGCCAGAACCATACACAGGGTTGTTGACGTAGCTGCTAACTAAAAAATTGGATCTTACCCTGACATATATACAGAAAAAATTGAAAACATGAGGAAGTCTTTTGTTGTTAGGGTTTAAACCTATTGATATATGTACTTAAAGGCGGTAAGTTAACTTCGGTTGATATAATCATGTTTTACAGTTGCAGAGCAGACTGCATATATGCGGTGATGACTCTCCGCACGCCGCGGCGCCGCATCTCGCCCCGCACCAAGCGCCGCTATCGAGCCATCAAGGACTTCCTAAGGCGAGCTCTCGGTTAGTACCTGTTCATAGCTCTTAATTACTAAAAACCCTAGCATGAAAAATAATAGTTAGGCTGTAAAATGAAAAAAAAAATACTCTGCCAATTGTTTAGATTAGCTTATTTATTTTGTGACAATTTTGAGTATTAATGTAACGTATAATTATTTCAGGCACCGCATCACAAGAAGCAAAAACTAACTCAAATGTAACAATAAATGCGTCGAATTTGAAACAGAAGATTTCATTTGAGCAGCAAGTGGCACAAGTGAAGGGGCGCAGCAGTCGACTGCACCCTACCACACCCACACCTGCGCCCGCGCCCTCCCCCCCGCACGCTGCAGACGACGGTGCCCAGTGTCGACATCTATTGTGTACCAACCAAAATGAACAAATTAAAACAAGTCTAGAAAAATTCAAAATCAACCCCAATGAAACAAAAGTATTGTATAAGACTTCAGAAAATCAGTATAAAAATTTTATAGAAAGTGACGTTACAAGTAAGGTATCTGATACGTTCAACTTAGATGTCAAATTACAAAAAGAGATAAACAAAATAGCGTCTAAAGCCGAGGGAATAGCTGCTAAAAATAAACATGTAGCAAAAAGACATGATAACAAATTGGATGCCATAAACAAAATTGATTCAAATTTAGTTAACCGGAAAAAACCGTTAAGTTATTCTTCTGCAAGCCACCGGTCATCGGTTGATCTCGTGAAAGCTGACGATGCGAGGTGTCATGAAAAACGGCGGGCTAGATTGAATTATACCAATCCAATTATACTAAAAGATTCACACAAATACAAGGAAGATGACCGTAAAAATAATATTGAGTATCTAGTTAGAAAATATGAGGAGAGAATGAAAAGGAAAAAATATAAACAACCCAAAAAGGAGATCGATAAAGATTTCATAGAAGATATAATAAGACGGCAGTATAAGCCAGTCAACATGTTCAGCAAGAGGGAATCGGGCTGGAGCCAGCTGTCAGCACCACTGTGCCGCGATCAAGAGTTCTCTGTCGACGACGACATACAGGAGGGCAGCGAGCTGTGCTCCTGTTGCTACGACAAGCCCGGCTTTCGCAACGGAATGAGATATGCTCCAAGTTACAGCGACGTTAGAAGTATTTGCGACACCAGGCTGTACAGCTCAAAGCGGTGTCCGCGAAACAGACAGAGTAGAAAACATCAAGAATATTACAACGATTCTCTGTATGATCTGATACCAGTAAAGGAAAAATCTAGTCCGAAATCGAGGAAAAAATTCGCCGAATACAATATGATTCCATACGAACACTACAAGGAGGTGCCACCGTCGCCGACTTCGCAGCGGCCACGCCTCAACCTCACCGCGCAGCGCCACGATCGCTGCGACGACTGCGGCCCCCGCGCCACGCGTCCGCACACTAGGAGCTCAGTACACAAAGCCAAAGTACAAACTGTCGATAAAAATATACAAAATGACGATTTAATCAATTTCATTCATTCAAGAAACGAAAAAGATATGTCGCTACCTTCTACGAAACCGGGGACACGAAGTCTTGAATCCGATGATGAATCTTCTTCTGTGCCGCTTCATTCGGTCGACCATAATCGACCCAATGTGTCCCTTCACAATTTATCTATCAACAAAACACAAGAAGCCGGCGTCGCAGTAGATAACACGGATAAGGCTCTTTACGAAATCAAAGACATACTACAAAATTTTCTCGAGGAAATGAAAAAGGAAACGATGCACAGCGATAAATCAGAAACATCTGAAAAATCTTTATCGAAACCTAAACACGAGGAAGAAAAAACCAACGTGTCAATGTTGCCGAATCCTTCACAAATGTCTAATAATACTGCTAATCAACCGAAACCTTACATACCCGCGTTTCCGAATTCTTGTTGCTATCCAATAGTGCCGATTTGCCCCATCGGCTGCGTGCAAAATGGCTTCGTGATACCGGCTCAAAGCCACACGTGCTCAGTGTGCACCAACCACCTCAAGGAGTCCTCGGCATTCAGTAAGGACGCCACCTTCAGTGGTGACACTCGTGATACACAAGACAAAGCTCCTCGCGATGAGACCCAACAGCTTATTAAAGAAATATATAACTTTGTGAAACAAGCCCCCCAGCCGAAAACTAATGCAGAATGTCGTGACGTCAGCACCGACAACACGAACGCAGCGGAAAAGACTCCCCGCCTAAGTAAATTACTAACATCAAGAAGTGCAGGCAACAGTTCCAATCCATCCGCTCATGATGCTAAAGTCGGAACATCTCAGATGAAATGCTATTCTAAAAGTTGCGAAGCCTTCGGGTCCAAGGACACCGAGGACAGTGTGTACAGCAACGCTAGCTATTCTGATACCATCTTAGAGAAGCTCAGCCTTGAGGCGGCCGCCACACAACCGGACTCCGACTTTGATTTTAGCAGCATTCTTAATCTGGAAGTCAAGGTAAATAATTATTGATAATTATGAAAAATCAATAAAAACAGGTAATTGAGATTACTTAAATTACTTATTAAAATTTTTTTTACAGCCTAGGAAAAAAAAGTTCGCAAAAGTATTACAATCGTTCGGGAATTTACTAAAAAAGAGAAAAAAGGAAGTTATACAAGAATTAAGTGAAAGCGAAAGTGCGGTGGAATTGGACTTGAATTCGAAGTCACCTTATAGACAACATGTGACCAATTATATGATGCACAGAGAGGAGTATTATCGTCCGCCTCCTATTCCCGCCAATTATCACTATCACACTTCACCCGAGCATTCTTACCGAGCGCCTGTAGGTATGGAGTCCAGACTCACATATCTGACCTCACCTTATGTATCAGCAGCTCAAGAACAGGAGATGCAACATGGCTCATACCCCATGACATCCTCGTATTCTACTTCAATGGAACATCGATTTAATCAAGTGCCTTCTCAAGTAACCCCTCAAGTTCCGCTATGTCTAAAAGAAATAGAAGTCAAAAGTATCGGCACGCAAAGCGAAAAAAAATCAATTTTGAAACTCTTAAAAAGCAGACTCGCTATGCCAAAGCACATAGCTGAACATGATCCGATAGAGGAGGCACATAAGAACGTAAGCGGAATTACCAAGAAGCCCCGCCTTATTAATTGGAAAAACTTAAATGAAAAGCCCCTACCGAGAACCGCAAATGTGGGAATGTCTATGAAACATACTCGGGATCAGTTGAGACAAACTGACATGACTATCAGAAATACGTTGATAAGAAGATTTTTCTATAAACGCAATCCGTTTTCCCCTCAAAATCCGCTTCTACAGACCTTATTGGGCAAAGATAAACCGATGGAGGAACCGCGGAATCTTCTTCGAACGAAAATGTTACTTTAGTTTTAATTTGTAGGTAGGTCTTTGTTTAGTGGAATGTTAAATTTTGGTCCACTGTTTGTGAGATGTATACGAGTGGTATAAGATTTGTTTGTAATAAACTTTAGTATATTGTTGGAAAATTGCTGTTTATATTTTTACTACGCAAAAATCAAACCTAGCATGAGGGCGTTCAAATCGTCTTATTTTTTCCACATATTTTTTGTAACCATAGAGTAAGAATAGAGTACAACTCTTAATAGCCGTTGACAGCACTGTAATAACACAAACGTCATACGTTGGTGATTCCAAGAATTAAGAATGAAACGGATTGTAAATATAACAAAAATATTGTTAAAATAGCCGCAAAACGTTTTTAATATGGCTCAAGACACAAATCTATATGATGTTCCTCTTTCATGGCTTACAAACGAATCTCGAAATTTGTTATCAAACTTATTAAACTCAACAAAAGTGCTGCCTAGCGATGGACCAGAGAAGTTACCAAGGTATTTATAAAATAGATTCCTATCACTGTCGTAATTGATATTTTGGATGATTTTTAAGTTTATTATGTTTATTAGTTTTGTAATTAAATTTACTGCCACTTCGTAACTTGTTTTTGTTATACATAGTTGAATGTATGTTGTATACAATGCTTGTGTCTGTCACATTTTATGAAACCACTTTCCTTATGTCGTTTATATAATCTAGATGTGCTTCTAAAATCTTAATAGTAAATGTAATAATAAATGTAAATCACATATTGCTATAGGTAGAGGGTGGGGATATAACTTGTGTGACACAGCTTGTTTTTTTATTTATTTTTGAAGTTAGGTTGTTAATACATTATGCCAAGTCTGAATAAGGTACATTTAGTACACATTAATTAAGCTTAAAGATTGTGATTATGGAATTGACTTATTGTTTATTCATATATGTAAATAAATTTTAAAAAAGTATCATAATTTCACAGATATTGGCGGGGTCTGGCATCATTGGCCAACATTTCAGCGGAAGTTGCAGCAAATGTAGAGTTGCAGACAGACAGAACTGCCAAAGTCATAGACATATGGATGAATGATAATAATAAAACTGCTTATGTTGGTTTTCTCCTTGAGTACCTGCAACGTCTTGACAGATATGATGTATACGATGATTGTATTGAATTACACAGACAAGGAAGACTTATAGGTAAATTAATAAACCTCACAAATTTAACATAAATCATATTGCAAAACCTTTTTCTGCTTTGAAATCGTGGTTCTGATTGATATATACAATCAACTATGCTTAACTTTATAATTGTTTTTTCCTTGCATTACAGCAAGACCATATGACAATGGTCCAAGGCTGTCAATGGAGGTACCAGATGAAGACAGTCTTATTACCTATGAAGACAGGATGTTAGGAGAGCCACAATACTATCATGCATATGTTGTGTATGCACAGGAGGACAAGGATTTTGTTGATTATCTACTGGTTCGAATGAGAGCAGAAGGTTTTCGGGTAATTAATATTACTATTGAAATATTAGGATTAAAAAAAAAATCTCATTTGTTTGTTTTGCAATCACATAAGATAATGTTGTATCCCAGCTATGCACAGAAGAGGATCTATTACCGGGTCATTCGACGCAGTACGCGCCTGTGTCGCGGCTGATATCGGAGCGCTGCCAGCGGATCATCCTCGTTTACTCCCCGGACTTTCTCAAGTGTCCCGCAAACAGCTTTTATACTAACTATGCACAGGCTGTTGCTATTGGTAAGGATTTTGTCATACAGAACACAGTAATACAATAAAAAATTACGTGAATTTTTGATTATTCAGGTTTTGCATTTGACAAGAGAACATTATTATAGAACCCAGGTAAAGTGCAATTCATCTGCAATTTCTGAGTGTCTATGGGCAGAGGTCGTTTTGCGATTTAGCCAAATTCCCGTAGCCTCTTGCTCGTTTGTCACATAACCTTATACTACACAAAAAATAATTTGAATTTTGAATAATTGTTGACCTCTGGTATAAATAATTCATCTTCCGCCACTAGGCTGCTACCACTCATGCAAGCAACTATATTTGTACCAAGTACAATAAATATTGTATCTTGTAGAACGAAAACAGCTAAAGATAATCCCGCTGATGTACCGTCAGTGCCAGCTGCCGATACAGCTCACCTACTACCACAAGCTTCACTACCCGCAGCAGCACCAAAAGTCGCCCTACGATTTCTGGCAGCGTCTCAGCGACACGCTCAGGATAACAAACTTACCGAGGTATGGACAATATTTTTACTTAAAACTTTTATGTTAAAAAAACAAAGTTTTCACATCATACATACTAATAATATGACTGTGAAAGTTTGGATGGACGGATGAAGGGATCTTGATAAAATTTGGCACAAATGTAGAACATATATAGCATTTCTATTTAATACTAAACAGACAGAGTCACGGTTTTTAGCTAGTCTGTCATAAATACAAGAAAGCATCACTCTGTTTCATTCTGTTAATTGTAGGCATTATTGTTGCCTTTTTACTGAATTTGTTATGTTCTTTTTAGATTAAACAGTTCTGGATCAAATCATTCTGCATTGGCCATTAGAGAGGTGACAACAAGCAACAATACATTCGAATCGAGAAACATAGCCAACGGCTTCACAACAAATAAAACAGCCTTCTTACAGCTACCGAGCATTCCGACAATAAAATCTATCTCAATGTCTGGTTTGGACAGTTGCGACAAGATCACATTGGATGACAATAAATCTCTGAGCAATGTCAGCCAGTTGAGCGAAGGTAAACAGAAGAAACCTAACAAAATAAAGAATTTTATAAACAGTTTGAAAAGGAAACCAAAAAAAGCTTTAGCGGTTATGGACAGCTAAAAATTCAGACAACGAATTAGAACAAAACACACTGAAAATTACAAGGTATTGGTGTAGATTCTTTTTTAAAAGATTCTAATTTGCCTAATTTCCCTAGTATTGTCTTTTTAATGCTAGTTTCATACTAGGGTAGTAGTGTATTGTATTGCCCTTGTGGATTTTTGCTGAAGTTTTTATACATTCTTGTGGTAAGAGATATGTAGTAATAGTGCTTTTTATGCAATTTTTTTATATATGACCAATGAAAAAATATAGCATGTAAGAAGTTTTGAATCGACTGCAATTTAAATATGAAAAAATCCAGATTAATACTTGAGAAGTTATGAGGTTGTGAAATTTAAAAAAATATGCTTTTAGAAAAAAAAAATGATTATAAACAATCTATTAACCCATAACATTCTCTTTTATGAAAAAAATGACAATTTTTTGACGATTTACTGACTGTGCGTGCGCACTCAGTGTTGGTGCTGCCATTAAGTCAAATAAGTCAAATAAACGAAAAAAAATATATATTAAATAACATAACATTAAAGATAGGTTTTCTTCCGATAATTCCATTGTTATGTTTGATAATAATAATATAGTTGCCCAACTTTTTTAATTAGACTTGCTGTACTGAAGGTAGAAATTGTATGATAGGGCAACACTTAAAATACTCAAGTTTTCTTTTTCTATTTTATCCAATAGCCAAAAAATTCAAGAAAAGAAAAATTTTCACAAGATTTGATGTATTTTAATTAGTTGCAAAGATGATTCGTCGATCGATTTTAATTATAAGTCGTAGATGTTAAAATGTTATTTTTTTGAAACACATTTTTCACAGGGTGTGCAAACGATAAATATATTTTTGAGATTTTTATACTTATACTGGCGTGCCTGAGATAGGCAGAATTTATGTAAATATGTACTTCATTGTAGTGTAATGTATACAATTGTTTTAAAATCATATAATACTGTTATTGTCGCCAGTTTTTGGCAGCCATTTTCTGATTTTAATTTGGTGCTTCCACAGTATATTGTAAAATACAAATGTTACAAAATATATGCTATTTGTTTAATGTAAGATCCTTTAATAAGCGTTATTTCCCGTTATATTGATCCAGTTTATAATTAGTTATATATTTTGAATATACATTTTTAAAAAGTTCCTAGTCTTTTATTTGACTCCTATCTTCCGATCCCTGAACACAGGAAGCTATCGAAGAACATTTTGCAAATATTTCGGTAGAAATAGGTAACAAATCATTAGCTAAATGCAATTAAATTTCAGTTTTAATGACTTACCTACACAATATTCAGAATTGGTCCTCATCGAAGCCATCAATGTATTGAAGAAGAGGAAATTGTATGTATTTAAAAAAATGTATTGAAGAACTAACGATAATTTTTATAATAAGTTTTTATTGTAAGATTCTGACCGACGACATTACTGCAGAAGCGGTAAAATGAAAAAAAGTAACGTCAATGTCAAATCTGTCTTGTTATGACAGCATGTCAATATAAAATATAACCTAAAACATTTTTAAACAACAAAAATTTACAAAGCAAACAGTAAAATATTACATTCACCATTATTTTCTGTTAAAAGCGTTTAATATGAAAGTTAACATCGAAGAGATTTACACGTCAGTTGCTTGTAATCGTATTCCAGAAATAGTTGACTGGAATAATGGCGGTATTGTTTGTTTCGGAGCTACTAATGCTGTTGTTATTTACGATACGGTATGTTTCTACTCCTATTATTTTATTGCTGCAATTACTGCCCGAGGAGTTGTCGCTTTGATATGAATTTGATAAAAATGGAATAAACAATAGGGTTTAATATCTCGCATATAAATAAAAGTAAACCCCTTGGACGAATGTAATTCCTGTTGGAAGAATTTTTACCTTCCTTATGTTATATTAATAAGTCTATAAGTTTTGGGGTCCTATGTATTGATTGTGTATATCTTGTCCTTAAATGTTTACCTTTTTTACAGGAAGAAAAAGGAAAAAACCCCCTAAAAGTGTTCAGTCACCACAAATCTAAAGTTAACTCAGTAAAATGGATTTGCAAACAAAATGGTGGTTGTACTGAGTTTGTGTCTTGCTCTGCGGATAAAACTGCTGCTATATGGAGTCTGGTGGATGGAGTATGGAAGGTTACAAGTTCTCTAATTGGTCACACAGATGGTGTTACTTGTATTCACAGTATTTATACCAATGGAGAAGATTTGGTTGTGTACACTGGGTCTATAGACTCCACAGTTAAAGTTTGGGAACGGACCAATGGTAACTTCATTATGATGGACAAAAATGATTTATCATTTTTAGGTATTTTATGTTTATATTGCTTTTTATGCTTTAATTAATGAAATGTTTCAAAGTAATGTAGAACAGACTATTTGTAAAAAATGTTGTAATTGTTTGCAATTTTATTTTGTGTTCACATGCCTTATGTATAAACTAATTTTTCTACAGTACAATGTAAATGTGTATTTTAAGTACATAAATGGACTTGTCCATTAATTATTTCCTGTATAAATACATTTTAGGTGTGGTATCTCTTAAACAAACAATAAATCTAAATTCTGGGCTATGTCTGACGCTGCATGCACACAAGTTGCCAGCAGTCAATCAGCCAGTTCTGTTCTGTGCGCTGGATGACCATAAGATACACCTGTTTGCTGGTGAGGAGTATCACAGAGTGCATGTACTGGTAGGACATGAGGACTGGGTACGGGGACTTGATGTTTTAGATGTTGGTAAGTAATAAATTATAAGTTATACCATGAATTAAAAAAAATACCAGTGTGATCTGAGTTAAAAAAAATACTTTTTTATTGAGTAAATTGGAATTACCTGAATATGTTTAAAAGTGATTTGTTTTTTGTTTCTGTTATCAACTTCTGAAACTCTACATTACCAAATTATTATCTCAGTTTAAAATCTTGTTTCCAGATGAAAGTTCAGTGTTGCTAGCATCAGCATCACAAGACACGTACATCCGTTTGTGGAGGATATTTCTACATACAGAAGTAGAGACCACAACTGAGATACGAGTAGAACAGAAACTCTTCAATGCTTATGAAAAAGATTGGTCAGTGAAGCTGGAAGCAGTTCTAGCTGGACATGAAGGCTGGGTGTACGGAGTGCAATGGCATCCAATGAAGTATGATCCAAGTAAGTAATTTTATTTGACAAGATAAGAAGTACTGTGATTATACTGTTCTGTTTTCACTAAGGGACTATCCAAACTAGTTCGGTCAGAGTGCAGAGTTTTCATCCCAAATAAAAATGAACTTTATAAAATTGTAAGAAGGTTTAATTTTACTTAGGGCCTGTCCCACCGGTGGTAGATAGAGGCCCTGATAGTGTAAATATGACGTCACGTCAGATAAAATACAAAATTTCTGTCCCACCAATTTTAAATAGCAGATAACGCTGTGACGTTTTAAATGTCAATGTCATTTTTTTACAAGCCCCATACAAAACTTTTCGATTCTGTGCCACGGGTGGCTGATAAAGAGTTCTGGATAATGTCGAAATGACATGAATGTCACAATGACGTCAGATATGGTGCAAAATCCAGTCCCACATGTTTCGGATAGGTAAAATAGCAAATTTACGAGCTCCTAATTTGACTGCCAGATCGAGTGACCATTATCTTTTTATCAACTGGATGAGAAAACTTTCTTTGGTCTTATTTTGAGTTAATATCAATGTTTTGACTGAAAATAGATCTTGTTGAGTTTTGAGAAGATGAATTTACGATTGTCTTGTAATATAACATGAATATACCGTCCCCACAATCACTCAGTAGTGAGAAATTGAGACGATAATCTAGCATGGCAATGGGCCATGTTTCGAGTTACAAACTCTGTACTTTTTGTGTTTTTGAGTTTACTCATGGCAGTGAAGTTTGCATCTTACGAAGTAGTCTTACATGGAACCGTATGGTTACATTATAACAGTAATCCGTTGTCAAAATGACGCAACGCAATTCATTCAACGTAATATTTTGTTGTTAAAATATTTTTTTCTTATTGTATTTGTTAATTTTTACTATTAGCTGTGTTATTATCCTTTGTTAATTTAAAAGCTTGTTATTCATTCAATTACGTAAAAATAAACATTTAAGTAAAACTAAACTAAGATGTCACGTAATTTAGGGCGTGGTCTCTTATACGAACCTGCATAAATAGGAACTTATAAGCATTCGTTGCGACGTTGCCGTTATTGTACTGTTGTAAATTATCAGTGTTATTAATAATGACAGATGTCAGTGGTGGGACAGAAAAATCATTTTATACATTCTGCTATATTACATCTTCATTGATGTCAGATAATTTACGTAAAAGTGATTAGACTATTGCAATACTATCCATTGATTTGTTCCGCATAAATTTAGTGATAAATAACAATATACCGTTGTCATGGAAACGAAATTCCGATTCGCAATTCATTCCACTTATTTCATTTTATATATTTTATTAAAACCAAATATTAAAATAAATAAGTGATTTTTTTTAATATTTAGCATATATTGTATACAATCTTTTTAAATAAATTTTTAGCAGAAAGTAGGAAAGATTTATCTTAACATGAAAAATAAAGTTTTTTACAAAACTGCCCGAATATGATCTTTTAAGCGTCCTTGCGACGTTGCCGCGTTTATTAACTACCAGGTTCTTACTTATCGGTATCTTGAATTGTGAAACAAAAAAATCCTATATTTCCGTCACGTATTTTATCTGTTTGATTATTATCAGGCAATTTACGAGAATTTGGTAGTACTGCCCCTTAGCATTGTTTATTGGGTAAGCATGAAAAACATGAAAAGTAAAATTAAACTTTATTTCAATCACGTAAGGTTTAATTTTATTTGCGATAAAATTCTGCACTGCACTCCGATCTTTTTAAATGGACTCTAACACTGTTAAAATATTTTAATTTCAGATACCAAAAGAAATGTGCCAGTGTATCGTTTATTATCATCATCTCTTGACAAAACCCTGATAATTTGGGAGCCGGAATCATCAGAGTTGGGGGAAGGGGCGTGGGTGGAGCGCGTACGCGTGGGCGAGGTGGGGGGCAATGGCTTGGGCTTCTATGGCAGTTGCTTCGGACCCAATGGAAAATCTTTCCTCGGACATGGCTATAATGGATCTTTTCACATCTGGAAATTGAATGAGGTATAGTTTGTATTGACTATTTTTTGTTTTAATTGTCGAAGTAGGTAAACAAATGTACATTTATTTTAGACATCTAGAAAAAGCTCCTAACTAGAATATATCTCTAATACTGGGTAATTGCCATTTGGGAATCATTGTTGAATTTTTAAAACTAAATCTACTAGTGGACTGCATTAACAATACCCCTCTCCGGCCAATTCAGTTCCCGAAACGGGCATGAGGACTTAGCCATGCATGGGTCTTACTGTCCGCGATAATCATTAGGTCTTTTTAATGTGATAAAAGTGCTTAGCGAATATGTGTATGTCTTTGAATGTGTGCGTGATGTGACGGTGGACGGAGTAGGAGTCTGGTGAGTGGGAGCCTTGCGCGGTGTGCGGCGGCCACTTCGGGGCGGTAGAGGACGCGCGCTGGGAGCCCCGCCACGGCCGGTACCTTCTCAGCGTCAGCGCGGACCAGACCACCAGGCTACATGCACCATGGACCAGACCTGATGGTAAACGAACCTCGTCTTTTATAGCTGACCTTACATGTTTTATAACTCGTTGAGTACAATCAGGAAGTCTGGCTGTGTGGTACTTTAGTGCAGTCGTTATAAATGTTTGAGATGAACGAAGATTTTAAATATGACTACGAAAGAAGGTCGGTCAGTAGTACACGGGTAATTGGTTTTTACTATTATCTTGTCGATTGCTTTCATGTATAGAGTGAGTTCGCAGCGCACTGTAGATGTTCTTTGACCCACGTTGAGGACATAGGAAAATAACTAGTTAAACTCGATTGCACAAGTCACTAAGCTAATTGATTATTCTAAAGAGACGAAGTTTGTTTCGTAATGAAGAAGGGTATTTTTCTGTAAGTGGTACACCGCGTATTTCCGCGACTGTACTGCGGCATGTCGGCATTGTGCGGTGGCAGGGAGCGTGCGGTGGCACGAGACGGCGCGGCCGCAGGTGCACGGCTACGACATGGCGGCGCTGGCGCCGCTCTCCGCCACAGCCTTCGCCTCCGCCGCAGAGGAGAAGGTCATCCGAGTGTTCCAGGCACCTCACAACTTCCTGCAAAACTTTCATAATATTGTCGGTGAAAAGTTGGTGGAGGAGGAAATTGGTGGTGAGTTGGTTTTACTTTTTAGTACACTTATTAACCGATATGTAAAGAGATTTTAATGTAGCATAGTAATCTTTTCCTTAGTCTCACTAATATAATTAATACGAAAGTTTCATTGTATGGATGGATATTAGTTATTACGACTAAGTATATCCAAAACGGATCTCGCTGAAATTTAGCAGAAATGTAAGACATGAATTGAAACATGCATCGGTGATTGTTTTAAAAAATCTCAATTTTTTACAAAGGTCCTGAGGGAGCTTCAGTTCCTTCCTTGGGCCTGTCCAACAAGGCGGTGTTTAACGGAGAGCTGGGAGACACTGGGAACAAAGAAGATAACGACGGCTACTTTGTTCCTGTCCAATTAAACGGTAAGTTGTGTTACATTAAATATATGAATTACTGACTTGTTACTGAATCTATACTTTTACTTCAGAATTTTTAGAGTCCCTGAAAGAAAGCTTTTGTAGATTAGCTACACCCAGACTGGTTGAATTGTCCCAGTGTGTGTGGTGATGTATGAGACAACTCTAACGTCCTGTTCAAACAGTCATAACTTAATCAAGAGGTTGTAAGATTTATTTAGTAATTTTAGTAGTAATGTTCATGCGCCGATCCCACGTAAATGTGATAAGGCCAGGAAGATAAGTAAATGTACAGTCAGGGGTAGTGCTGGGGTGGCGAACATTTATGCGTCAATCTTTGAAAGAAATGTTTAATTCGATCTTAGACGTGCCATCGAATAATTTTGCGATTGTTTGGACAAGTCCATGGTGCACCTATATGTCGTGTGCCAGTGGTTCGCCACCCCTGGAGTAGTGTAACGTGTGTGGCAGCGCCCCCCAGCGAGGAGGTGCTGATGCAAAACACACTGTGGCCGGAGCAGCGCAAGCTGTACGGGCACGGCCACGAGGTGTACGCGCTGGCCGCAGCCCCCGCAACCCCCGGCGCCCCCACCGCGACACTCCTCGCCTCCGCCGCGCGCGCCAACACACAAGAACACGCCGCTGTCATTATATGGTAAGGACATGTTTAATACCACTGGAATATTATAAACAAAACTAATTTAGCTTCACCTTTTTAAATATCTTTGCGATCAGAGATGAATTGGACACATCCCTTACATATAGATTTATTGACATTTATTCATTTATTTGTTTTCAACATGTTTGAAAATAACTATAAGTAAGGATGGAAAGAGAAAATAGATTTCATAGAAGTGATGTTAAGGTCTTATTTAAACTCACTATACGTTAAAATAACACGATTTTAAACTCATTGTAGTTGTCTATGGTCAGTGTTCACTAAGCTGTTTTATGTATCATACTTTTTTAATTTTCAATTTATTTTCCTTAATTCTAGGGAAACGACAAACTGGCAACAAATACAGAAGCTAGTATCTCATACGTTGACAGTAACCCAGCTTGCGTTCTCACCGGACAGCAAGCAGCTACTGTCAGTGTCCCGCGACCGAAAGTGGACCTTATATCAACGGGAGCAAGGCACAGATACGTTTGTGATGTCGGCGTGCACAGACAAGAGTAATGGAGTTCATACGAGGATCATCTGGTGTTGTGCCTGGGCTATGGATGGGGAGGTATTCGCTACAGGGTCTAGAGATGGCAAGGTAAATAAGTAAACGATTAAAAGTACTAAAATCTTAACCTAGTCTAAACAACTAAACGAATTTCGATGATTTTTTTAAAAAATTTGCTTTTAATTCCACGCAGACGGAGTTACAGGTGAAATCCAGTAAACATGATTATAAATCAACATAAAAAAAAAGAAAATTTGCTTTATTCTTTCAGGTTTGTGTGTGGCATAAAACGGACCAATTAAGTGCAACATCATTGAGGTACCATAGCCTTTGTGGGAAGCCACTGGAACTAGTTAACACGTCTGTGACAGCGATCGACTTTGCACCATTCACAGTCGACGATAAACGGATACTTGCTACAGGTTTTGAATCTGGTGTAATCAGGATATACAGCTTTTGTATCGATGGATGGTGTTTGTTAAAAGAATTGGATAATAGGTATAACAGTGATAAAAGTATAAATTATTATAAAGCTTTCTTGATGTCGATTTTCATAAAAATTGTTTTTTTTTTCAGTGCTGCTCATCATTTAACTGTTAAAAGGCTAATGTTCAATCCTAAAATAAAGGAAAGTGAATCCAACAAAAGGGCACTACTGGCGAGCTGCGGAAGTGACAACTTTGTAAGGATACACAATGTTATTGTATCTGTTTAGAAATAAATATAATTTTTGTTAATATGTTTTTATTTTTTCCCTGTAAAATTTAATAAAAAAGCATAAAATCCGAGTGCAGTTAAGTAGCAAGTTTTTTTCTAATTTTAGCTGAAATAGTATGTACGCTTGCGTATAAGTTTCTTCCATTCAATAGAAGAAAAACAGGGACTTTATGAAAAAATACTGTTGTTTCTTTATATTGTCTTGTAATCAATTTTTTTTAGTTTAAACAAACACCACAAGACATTTCGGTAGTCTACTCCTGAGTGATAAAAAATATATGCTCTCTGTGGTCGAATAAAATTGCGGGAATTTTGACAAGTGACAGTTTTAAATAATTTCTATTTATATTGAAATAAACGGGCCTGAATGAAAGGTTTAGGTAAGGATCAAACACGCGATAAAAATGCCTGAAGTAATGATATCTGGCATACCAGTCAGTTTTCCTTTCGAGCCGTATGAAGTGCAAAGAGCGTATATGGAAAAAGTGATTGAAAGTTTACAAAACAATACCAATGCTTTGCTGGAGTCACCGACTGGAACAGGAAAGACCCTAAGCTTGCTGTGTTCTTCACTAGCCTGGTTGTTAGTGAAGAAGGCTCAGCTCCAAATGAATGCACAAGTAGGTAATTTCTCGGAGCACAGCGGAGGCGGTTTTAGTAGCAATTTAAAGGAAAGTTTAAAAGCAAGTGGCAAATCTAAAGATAACACATCATGGGGTATGCCAAAAATTATTTATTCATCCCGAACACATTCACAGTTAACACAGGCGATGCAGGAATTAAAACGATCAAGTTACCGACATGTAAAAGCGGCTGTGTTAGGGTCGAGAGATCAAATGTGTATTCATCCAGAAGTTTCTAAAGAGACTAACAATATGAATAAAGTGCACATGTGTCAACTTAGAGTTAAAGCTAGGACTTGTTTCTTCTATAACAATGTTGAGTCAAAGAAGGAAGATAGGTCAGTTAAAGGAGATGATATATTAGACATTGAAGATTTAGTCGGTGTAGGTAAAAAGTTAAAATGCTGTCCGTATTATTTATCCAAAGAACTTAAACAAGATGCTGATATAATATTTATGCCTTACAATTATATACTGGATCCAAAATCAAGAAAAGCAAATGGAGTGGAACTTCTAAATAATATTGTGATATTGGATGAAGCTCATAATGTTGAAAAAATGTGTGAAGAGTCTGCATCACTACAGATCCGCACAACCGATGTGGCTTTGTGTATTGATGAAGTAACACATGTTATGAAAAGTTTTGTTGAGAGCAATGAAGAAATGGATGCAACTATTGACAATACTACACCTAAAGATTTTACTTGTGATGATCTGTGTATTTTGAAAGAAATGATGCTGGCATTAGAGAAAGCTATAGATGAAATTAGTGTAGGTAGCGAGGGAACTACCTACCCTGGTAGTTTTATATTTGAGCTTCTATCAAAGGCAGAGATCAAAGATCATAACCAAATGACAGTCATCACTTTAATAGAAAATCTTATTCAATATCTGTCCACAGCTAATGCATCACCATTCCAACGGAAAGGTGTGGGCTTACAGAAAATTGTAGATTTGTTAAATGTTGTCTTTAGTGGTACCACACACGCTTATAAGGAGCGTGTGAAACTATGTTACAAAGTGCATATAAGTGTAGAGGATAAAAAGAACAAAAAGTCTGATAGTTGGGGCACTTTAAAGACAACCAGTACTAAAACTAGTGAAAGAGTTCTCAGTTATTGGTGTTTCAGTCCCGGTTTTGGTATGAAACAATTATTGGAACAGAATGTTAAAAGCATTATTTTAACCAGTGGTACTCTTGCGCCTTTAAAACCCTTAATATCAGAATTAGGAATACCAATAGGTGTTTTATTAGAGAATCCACATATTGTGAAATCTAATCAGATATGCGTTAAGATCATTGGTCAAGGTCCAGATGGTACACAACTCAACTCAAACTATCAAAATAGGGATAATCCAAAATATATTTCATCTTTAGGTCGAACAATTTTAAGTTTCTGTAGAGTTGTACCTGATGGAGTTTTAGTTTTCTTTCCATCTTATCCGATTATGTCCAAATGTCAAGAGATGTGGCAAAATGATGGTATCTGGTCTGGCATCAATAATATTAAACCAATATTTGTTGAACCACAACGAAAAGACACATTTAATGCTATTATAAACGATTTCTATAGCAAAATAAGTGATCCTAGTACCAAAGGAGCTTGTTTTATGGCGGTATGCAGAGGTAAGGTATCAGAAGGTTTAGATTTTGCTGATATAAATGGAAGAGCTGTTATAATAACTGGACTCCCCTTTCCACCATTAAGGGACCCGAGAATTATACTCAAGAAGAAATACTTGGAAGAACTCAGAGTAAAAGACAAAGAATACTTATCAGGTGATGAATGGTATGCTTTAGAAGCAACAAGAGCTGTTAATCAAGCTATTGGTAGAGTCATCAGACACAAAAATGATTATGGAGCAATATTACTTTGTGATAGTAGATTTAACAGTCCAAAGTTAAAAAATCAGCTCTCCGCTTGGCTGAGGGATTACATAAATTTATCAAATAAATTTGGTGAAACTGTGAGTGAAGTTTGTAGATTTTTTAAGAATGCGGAAACTTCTTTGCCAGCTCCAAAATTAAAACCACTTCTACCTCATGAGAGCAATGTTAACTACAAAGAAAGTACTGCATCATCTAGTGCTTCATTTCCTTCGGCAAACACAAGAGTGATAAATAAAAACCCTCAAAACAAATCTGTAAATCAATATCCAAACTCTAATGAAGTGTATGCAGATTTTTCTATGGATTTTTATAAGAACGCTCAAGCATCAAATTATTTAAATGAATTTCGACCTAAAGAGACTAAAGACCTCTTCAGTGCATTAGATTGCAGTAATGATTCTATCAAAACAGAACCACAATCACTGGTTACAATACATAAAAGGACTGCTGAAGAAGTGAGTTTAAATTCTATTGCTAAAAAGAAAAAGTTAAAAATCAAAGCTTTTGGTTTTGAAGAGAACCTTACAAAGAGCAATGACAGTAGTAACATAGAAAGAGTTGCTCCCGAGTCTCTGATTGATTTTGTTAAAGAAATTAAAGTGCTATTAGATGGGGAGGAGTACAAGCAATTTCAAATATCAATATCAGCATACAAAAAAGAAGGAAATTATGGCATGTTATTGGAGACATTGATTGGTTTATTTGAAAATACAAAGTTATTTTACTTATTCAAGGGCATGAAGAGATTTCTAAAGGAGGAACATAAGCAGGAATTTCAGATATATTGTGATAATGTTAAATTAACCAGATGATTTATTATGTTCTTTTATTAAATTATTTGTAAAAAAAACTAGATGTAAAATCAACAAATTAAGCTAAATAAATCAATGACATAGGTATATAATTAAATAAAATGCTGTTTATAATGATTTCTTTATTATCTACATTTACTCTAAATTATTACATTTACTGTTCATTTTTAGGTCTTGCATTAATTTTATTGGCAATTTCAACTGAATTAATTCTCAGCATTGTTTGCTGAGCTCTTTGGAAGTTAATCCTCATGAATTGCTTCCTTCTCTTCTTCTTGAAATGTACTCGAGTGTGTGAGAGTCCTTTAGAGATAATAGTAGCGGTGACAGTTACTAGATCTGGCTGTACCAGGGGTCGTCCAATCAATGAGAAATCTTTTGTTGCTGCTAAAAGTACTTTTTCTAATTTTATCTGATCACCAATATTCGGTGGCCAGTATCCTTCGACTACAAGCAGATCGCCGTCACTCACCCGCCACTGTTTACCCAAGAGATGGATTATAGCAAAGTTACGAGAAGGTTTCTCTGCGATTATTCTGTTGCATGTATCTATAACTTCTTTCGGTGTATTAATAGATTGTTGCTGAGCAGGAACAACATTTGTAAGAAGTCTAGACAAAATACCTCCTGTAAAAGAAATACGATGTGGTATTCTAATGTGAATTATGGCAGAAAAAAATTATATATGTTGCTTACCATTACTCCCGCTGAAAACATTTGCAAGTCTTTGCAAGCCTGTTCTAATTAAGGACATTGTTAGGAAAAGTAGTCTTTAATTCTTTAATTGTTCTTGGAGATGAGTTCTTATTACATATCGGGTCTATTTATTTTGAGCAAAAACATAACCTCTCTACAGTTGACAGATGTGGACAATGACATAATGGCAGGTTGACAGAACTTTTCCGTTCCGTTATAGCTTTAACGTTTTAAGAAATATATTTTATAATTAAAGTAATTAACAGTTACATTTTAAGTTTGTTTTGTACGTCAGTATACTACACCTATTGTAATGGCAATAAATATCCTCGATTCGCTGCTGCACCGATTCATGTGTGAACTTATTTGAACATTTATGGGCTCATATTGTTCTCGTACTACCCGCGTATTATGATAAAACGCAGGGTGGTCTCATGGTGTTGTGCCGAAACCTACGTGTACGGCACCCATAGTTTTCGAGTTATTTTTTTAAATATATCTGTGGACAACGGAGTGGATGATATTGTGTAAACTGCGACTTCACGCTATGTTAAGTGGTGTACGGTGATGTGGTTGATGTCCTACACCTGAAATTAACTTAGTTTTAACTGTCTGACTACATATATAACGCTATAGATTAAAACTGGTGGCAGGATGGCAGAGCTGTATGTACAAAGTTGCTTTCGTCTACTTTCTTAACTAGTACTACTACTTGAAGTAGCTCTTTCTCGGATTGTTGAATTAAAAAAAATAAGTGTAGCTAGCCAAGTATATGTTATTATAGTAACTAGTAGGGTTCCGTCCACTAGGGTAACAAATAAACTACATTTCATCTTAACTTACCATGAAACGTAATTCTGTGTACACGGCGCAAGAATCGGGTAAACTATGCGCTGTTTATTTTTCATAAAAGAAATAACGTTTTGAATATATTGCAGTGACCGTAGTTCGCTACAGACAAGTACTTGGAGCAGCGCAGTGCGGTAAAAGCAGTGTTCGCATTGAAGCTAACATTAATTAACAAAGAGCCAACACTGCGTAAAAGTGCAGAGGCGGCTCAATGCGAGTGTGTGCATTAGTTAGCGCGGTACATTCAGCGACGTGATATGAAATTATTATTTGTCTGCTCCAGCTGTACTTTTATCTATCTCCCGCTGGTTGCCGAGGTTCTTTGTGCAAGTTTTAGCGGACTAAAGTTATAATATATTATGAGGTTGTGTTTGATCATTGAAACATTAAGTGGCCTTATTATCTTTGTGTTCCTTTAAATATACGGAACAAAGTGATTACAATTGTAAACTATGGTTTATTACAGAAATAACTTAAGAGACTTAACACACCTCAGACGTCAAGCAATATTCTGAATTCTGATGCAGATTTACTGAATTCCGTTATCTCTTGATATAGTCTGGTAGCAGATATTCTAAATTCATAGTATAGTTATATATGTATATCGGAGCTTTGTTTGTGTCAAAGTGGCACTGCATTACCGAGACGTCTCAGTTAACAAACGTCTGGGATTTAACCCTATTAAATATTATCAAAGGGATCGGAGCGAGGCGCCTATGCTGAGATCGTTAATTGGATGACCAATCTGAATACATTTGCCTGATAATTGATTCGGGGGGCGGAGTGCTGTGTCCACTTGCATTGTGTTTAGTTTCAGCTTTGATGATTTGCGGTCACACTTGTAATCATTACTATTATGTGTTAACAAGAACAGCGTTAACTACATAACGGACTTGTCAAGACCTAACATTCAGTATCGTTAAACTTCTATAATTTATTTTTAAAAATGTATACTTATCCATCATTCTCTTCCCGTCCTTATCCAATATGCTACGTTATTTTGTCTACCAGTAATTAAGAAGTGAGAGGTGACTGAGATGACGGATCATCGAAACCTTGTGCGGCCTTATGGGTAGGATAAGGTAGGAAGCATGACGATTTCTTTCTACCAGAAGTCAATAAGCAAGAAAGATAAATTTAAATTTGTCCGAGAAGAATTTCTCTTAAGCTTCTGGGTACGTAAATGATTGCTACGTGTTAGGAGTGATATAAAGTTTTCTCCGAATGAGAGCTTATAAAGACAAGGAGAAAGCTTATCTTCGCCTGAACTTTAGTGATGCTTCATGAATAAAGGTATACTCAGTTTTAAAAACAAAAGGATCTTATATATACAGTTGATGAAGAAATGACTATCTTTATTATTTTACTCGATTCAGAGAAATTACATAATTACAGCGAATATGTGGAAAATGCAAGAACATTTTCCATCCAACGTAATAACGAAGGTTCTTCTAGGTATCGGGGAATTTTCAATTAATTATCTTTTGTTATTTTTCGTTGTAGATCGCATTGCATTACGTGCTACGTAAATTTGTAGTAATTCATAGAACATAGCTACGTATTGTAGAATGATTACACGGAAAATATTAAAAAAAAAACAAACCAAGTAAATCTGTGTGTCGACTAAATATATTTTAAAGTTGAGAACAGAGCCGACGTCATAAAGTTGTTATATCAAAGTGAAATAAAATTGTGCAGCCGTCAAGGTAGCTTACCTGGGCTCCATCATCGAAATCCCGGTGCATCGCTTTCCCGGCCGCGTGCTGCGCGCTCGGCTGTGTCCGGCGCGAGTCGGGTGGAGGGCTGGCGGTGGACAGGG